TTGTCGATCTTGCAGTAGATGAGCAGAATGCGAAAATAGTCAATGGAGCAAACCCACTTTTTACCAGTATCAACTAAATGGAAGTATGATTTAATCGATGTTTAAATGACTTTTTTTACGGTATGGGAACAACTTTTCGTGTATGATTGTTGATGTGCATGCTTTCAGTAGCAATATCAAAATGAGACCTTGTCTTCTACAGATTGCAAATCCATAATATCAGAAAGGTTGTCAACCCAGTCGATTATTGCGATTAGCCGTCGGTGTGCAATTGCAAGCAACTCATCCTTCGCAATTTTTCGGTACGGTTCATAACGCATCTGTAAACAGCAGTTCAACAGTTAACTAAACTGTAATTGAATTAGTTTTTGATGAAGCAAGACTTCAACACTAGTAAATAATTTGCTAATCATTGAAGCATCTCTTTTCAATGATATACTTCAGTTCTTGAACCATCCAGTAATGACGGGTCATCCAAAATCTGTTTTAATGATTTGAACGGCAGAGGATAGATTGATTTAGCATCTTTTTGCGTATCACCTTTATTTACCTGAAATTTTTTTAGTTTTATATAGCTCAATATCAGAAATGTGGTATTTTTCTTGTTTTAGAGGATATTGGAGTTTGTGCACTGCGTTTTAGACGTTCCTTGTCACTTTGTCCTTCTTCACTTCTCGTAATTTATGCTAGAGAGACAACTTCTTTATTTTTTCTTTTCTATTTTAAGGCGATATTAATTTTTTTTCGACTCGCACCTTTTTTGGTATTTTCGTATAGTGAAAAGTAGACCAAAAAAACTATTAGATTTAGACATTGTCTACTGGAATGTTATTACTATTTATTTTTACTGGTTTATGTCTAGTCTTTATATTAACGTAAGTATCTAATTAGCAGCTTAGGGGAAATATAAATATTAGTAGCATTCTTTAATAAGCAACAGAATTTGAAGGGATATTTCCAACCTACTGCTAGTTATAATAACATTAAGATGAAAACCGCTCGACAGTATACCCAAAAAAAAAGCTGTTGTAATCTGAACTGTGAAGGTACATTTTTTTTTT